GGTAGTGGTGCTATAAAAGTTGGACTTTGGGACAGAGGTCTGGGCCCCATTCAGTAGAATGTGCAGCAGGGCCAACTAATGCCATAGGGCCAGCTTGCTACATTTGGTAAAGGCAAATTAAGTAAAACACAATGTGGAGCAACAGCACAGGGGTGGGGACCTTCAGATATGGCTGAACTACAACTCCCATCAGCCCCATCATGCATACCAAAGGCTCCCCATGCCTGTAACAGCACATTAAGATTGCTGGACTAGGACCTGGGAGACCAGGGCTCCAATTCCCCACTCAGCCACAAAGTTTACTGGGTGATCCTGGGCCACTCACTGTCTCAGAGCCTAACCTACCTCACAGGGTTGTTGTGAGGATAAAAAGAGAGGGAGAAGAATTCTGTATGCCACCTTGAGTTCCATGGTGGAAAGGTGGGACATTAATATAATAATAAATAAATATAAGCAAACAAACAAACAAACAAACAGAGAGCCAGTGTGGTGTTGTGGTTAGCATGCCAGACTAGGACCTGGGAGATCAGGGTTGAAATCCCCACTCAGCAGGGCTGGGCCTTGGTAATATGACCCCTCCTCCCAGCTTAAGCCGGTCTTTAGGAAGGAGGTGTCAGGCTCTGGCAGGGTCCTAGAGCCCTCCTAACCCCCAGTCCCAAAGCCCAGTAAGTGCTTGCCCAGCTTTGGGAAGAAATAGGGGGGACTTTAGGACCCTGTCGGAGCCCTCATGCCTATTTCCCAAAGCTGGGCAAGTGTCTACCAGGCTTTGAAAATGTGCCCTCCTTGGCTGGCTGCCCAGTGTGTCTGAACCACTCACACTGCCCTAAATCCAGCTCTGCACTCAGCCATGAAGCCCCCTGAGTGACCTTGGGCTAGACACTGGCTCTTGACCTAACCTACCTCACAGGCTTGTTGTGGGAATTAAATGAAGACAGGGAGAACCGTATACACTAACCTTGAGCTCCTCGGAGAACAAGGTGCTATATATATATATATATATATATATATATATATATATATATATATTTGCTTTCGTAGATTTTCACGGGTACAGGAATGCAGGTTTTGGTGTCCTCGGGTGTCTTCCCGTGTAAAAGTTGGGGTGTCTAGGCGACGTTTCGACGAGGTCTCACTCGTCATCTTCAGGCTGGTGCTTTCGGCTTCTTGTTACTGGAACAGAGCAGGATCTCAGTGTTTGAGTTCCTATAAATACTGTTGAGGGGGTGTGGTGTATAGCCTCCAATGTTCTGGGCAGAGAGGAAGTTCCCAGGTTAGTGTGCCTTTTCTTCTTTTGTTCCTTAATTACTTGAGGGATATCTTGAGTGATTTCTTGAGTGATATCCTGAGTACCACTTAGGTGGGTCATTAGGTGTGGATTAGTTGCTAAAGCCTTCGTGTCTTGACCTCTTGAACTTTGTGAAGAGTTTTTCTGAGAAGATGGCTGTACTGCAATTAGTTGTGCTCTGGCTTGGCTTCGTGTATAGGGGCGAGCTGTGGTTTTGTGTCCTGTGCCAGCCAGATCTGTGTAGGGATTGCAGGGGGGTGCAGCATCCGGAGGTGCCACCATGGTTTGGCTACTGGATGGTGTCTGTAATTTATCTGTGGAGAGGGTCTGGGTTTGGGTCTGGTGTGGTTGATTGGTGATGGCGTTCTGTGTGCCTCTGGATCTGGTGTCGGTTTTTGTGGGGTTTTTGTGTATATATTTTCCTGATATATATATCAGGAAGCTGCCTTATATCAAGTCAGACAATTGGTCCTTCTAACTCACTGTTTACACTGACTGGCAGCAGCTCTCTAGGGTTTCTGGCAGGGAGTGTCTCCCAGCCCAAGCTGAAGCTGCCAGGGATTGAGGCTGTGGCCCTCTGCATGCAAAACAGCTTCTCTGCTGCTGGCATATACAGTAGCCCTTCCCCTTACATCTCGTGGCTAAAATATCCTAACTGATTCATTGATGGCAGGATCAAAATTGGGTAATAGTTTCACTGGAATAAATCAAAATGTCACAGAGATGTGGAAAGCTTACCAGAAATATGGAGTGCCAGTGTGGTGTAGTGGTTAAGAGCGGTAGACTCGTCATCTGGTGAACCGGGTTCGCGTCTCCACTCCTCCACATGCAACTGCTGGATGACCTTGGGCTAGTCACACTTCTCTGGAGTCTCTCAGCCTCACTCACCTCACAGAGTGTTTGTTGTGGGGGAGGAAGGGAAAGGAGATATCAAATCCAAACTCTTCTTCTTTTTCTTCTAATGATGAATATGTTTATTTTTAAAAAGTAGAAAAATTAGGCTAGATCAAGGTTAGCCAACATGGTGTTGCCTTTTTTGTTTATTTCATGTATAATGTGCTTCCTATAATGCATTTTGAAGTAACTTAATTGCATATATAAAAACCAGTGCTATTTTTCTATGAATACCTCCCTTGTTCTCTTATAATTGCAATGGCACCCAATGCAGGAAACTCAACCAAAGCATCCCTGATAGATGGCCATCCAACCTCTGCTTTAATACCTCCAATGAAACAAATATGCATTAAACCATTGTTGTTCAAAACAAAGGGACAGTAAAATAAACGTGCATAAACCATCATGATTCAAAACAAAGAAAAATCCAATAAAATTTGAACAACAAATATAGGGCTTGATCACAAATGCTTATGCCATAATAAATCTATCAGTTTTTAAAGAGACTTTGCTTGTTCTTTATTATGAATAATAATTTTATACCTCATCTAACTGGTTACAAAACCAATTAACAACATGAAACAAAAGAGAGTAATGATTCCAAACAAGACTGAGTGTCCACAAGTGTGGCGTGTTGGGTTGGCGTGTTGGGCTGTGACCTGGGAAGCCATGAAAATCCCTGACCTTGGGCCAATCACCCTCTCTCTCAGCCCAATTTACCTCACAGGGTGTTGGTAGGATAAATTAGGAAGGGGGAAATGATGTACACCACCTTGAGATCTAGGGTGGAGTGGGGAGGAAGGTGATATATAAAAAGAAAACAAGTGGTTAGTAACAGACAGCATAATACAAAATACAAAACACGGCTGAAAATAAAACCATAAGAATATAATCACATTAGAGCTCAACACTACAATTGATTGTGTGCCTGAGATGGTCTCCTACTATATCCTTGAGAAGTAAAAGTACCATATTTTTCTGTGTATAAGACGGTGGTTTTTTTGCTAAAAAAAAATTAGGCCAAAATTGGGGGTCGTCTTATACATGGATAATGAAGGCAGAGTGAGGCGGGTGCAATTGCGGGCTGTGGCAAGCAGGCATGCATGTGGGCTCAACAACTCCCCCCCCAAAAAAAGCTTAATTTTCAGAAGGAAGTTGGCTAACTTAAAAGCTCAACAACCGAAGGGTGACCTCCCCCAAAATAGGGGTCGTCTAATACACGGGGTTGTCTTATACATGGAAAAATACGGTATAAATATGGTTGCCTAGATCCAGAAAGGGTTAAAATCTAATGGGGGATTCAATTGTTGGAATAGACAGGCCAACTTATTGGTAAGGCCTTAAGTACAAAAGGAATCTGCTTTGTGCCAGGGGGCACGTGTGTGGGCGCCCTACTTCATCTGGCTAGTAGTGAGAAAGATAAAGGCAGACTGGAGTGTGGGAGAGAACTAGGATTAGAAGCCTGAGAGTGAGAGATATGCTTGATTTCATACCCTCCAACATTTCTCTGACGAAAATAGGGATGTCCTATTCCATCAGCATCACATTTATACCCCACCCATCTGACTGGGTTGCCCCAGCCACTCTGGGTGACTTCCAACACGTATAAAAACATAATAAAACATAAAAACTTCCCTATACAGGGCTGCCTTCAGATGTCTTCTAAAGGTTGCATAGTTACTTATCTCCTTGGCTCGGGGGTCGCATAGCTCCACACCCTCCAGCGTTCCTCCAATCAAAATACGGACGTCCTAAGGAAAAGCAGGACATTCCAGGATCAGATCAGAAACCAGGACAGCTTCTGTAAATCTGGGACTGTCCCTAGAGAAGACGGTCACTTGGAGGGTCTGTGATTTCTGCTTGAGTCCAAGGCTGCAGCTATGGGAGAAGCAAGACCTTCAGGGGCGTTAATGCTGGGAACCCCTGCGTTGTAGGCTCAGGTTGAATACATGTGTAAATAAAGCATATATCCTAAAGACACCACTGTCTCTGCTGCCCCTATTCCAAGGAAATGTAACCCTAGGTAAGTGCCTGGAACCCCTGGAATCTCAAACAGCTTGTAGGTTGGAGTAGCGCACAGCAGCATTGAATAAAATGAATCTAGCGTTGTTGATTCCGCTGAGAAAGAGAGAGACAAACAAACTTAAGAAGAAACTGCTGGAACAGGCTAATGGCCCATCTAGTCCAGCTTCCTGTACTCACAGTGTCCAACCCAGTGTTGCCTGTGAATAACAAAATCAACCCATACCGATCATGGGACAAGTCCCATGGAACTCTTTATGTCTTATTTCTGTTCAGACATGCATAGATTATGCCACATTTCTCCACAACCTCTCCTACCACAACTTAAACCTTATTTATTGTTAAACCCAAAGACGCTGCGGAGACTGATCTGCAGTATTTAGTCAACCGATCAGTAAAATGAAACAATTTTTAAAAAATCAAACAACATCATCAGTTTGGATCGACTGAAAGAGTGTCCTGCATGAATTAGCTAGCCAGTAAGATTTTTGTTTTTGAGTGTTTTTTCTCTGCCGCTGCGACATGTCTGCTCCAGGGATGAGGAGAAAGATGTGATATTCCAGGTATAAAGATATACTTTATTGGACTACAGCTCCCATCATCCCTGATCGTTGGCTATGATGGCTGGGGCTGATGGGAGCTGGCGTCCAACAACATCTGGAGGGCCGCCGGTGCCCCTGTCTCTGGTCTACTCAGAAGGAAAGCCAGTTGTGGAATTCTCTGGCGAGCGCGTACACAAAACTGCAGCCTGCCTTGGACAACTGTAAAGCATTGTGCAAGAGGAGGGGGCGGGTCTTGATGATGTGCGGGGCGGAGAAGAAGCGAGGCCGCCCACTCGAATCAAACACGGCAGCTGGAGCGCCGCGGACCCCAGATACCTTCTGTTGAAACGGGTAGCCGCCTCGTTTGGGAAGCTGGCTGCGTCGGTGGGAGTCATGGAGGACGCGGAGAAAGGCACTCGCGGCAAGCGGGAGACCGTCAAGATCGGAGGTGAGACGAGCGGAGGCTTGCAAAGTTGGAGCAGCCCCATCCTTCTTCCTTTCTTTTTTGGTCGAGGCTGGGGGTACGAGCGGAGCTGGGGGAAGGAAAGGCAGACAGCCTGGTTCTACTCAGAGTAGTCAGACCGACTGAAATGTACAGACGGGACGAACTTGGGTCCATTAATATAACTGGGTTTACACTAAGTAAAACCTGGTTGGCTACACACCTGTTGCTTCCGAGCATGCACAGAGTGTGCCTGTTTCAGCTTCCGATAATCGCACCCTAAAATGAGTACTTTAAAAAATCTGGAGGTTTTGAGATAGGGGCGAAAGGGGCGTGCATGAGCGTGCGATTTCCGTTTAGGGGAGGCTTGGTTTAAACTATGCCGTCTGACGGTCGGAGTCTTGCTCTCTGTGGTGAACACAGGAAACGCTGAGAACCTCAGATAATGTACAAATGTAATCTACTTTCCTCTGGAGGGAGTTTATTTGGGTGGGTGTGGATGAGTGCACGCCTGCGGTGAAGGTACTCCTTGGCCTCGCTTTGCAGGAGGGTCCAGGGTCTTTTGCAGGAGTTTGAATCTTCAGAATGACCCTGGGGTATGCTACTTGAAAATGGATAAGCTCTGTAGCAGGAGTTGAGGTTCATGGACTTGTTGGGGTGCGAAGCCTGGAATTTCACTCTCCCCGAGGCCTGATTCTTTAAGTTTCGGGAAGGGATTTTGTGTGGAGGGGGCTACTATCTTATGGACTAGAATCTTGATTTCAGCTCAGTAATGCTCAGATTGTGGTCAAACTTTCATATGATAAACGTATTCAGCAGCCCGTAATCTGTCTTCGCTTTGCGAAATCTCCCTTGGCTCCTTCTACAACTGAAATTTGTATTGACTCTTTACAGAAGCAAAGCTCAAAGCTATGTATACTTAAGATGAAATTAATCCCCTGGAGAAATTCTAGAACCAATGCCAACCTTTACATACATCCAGGGACTCATTTGTTTACCCTACTAGAAAGTTGCTGTTACCTTCTATCTTGGTGACTGGCTACCCGATGGGTTAAAAAGCAAAACAGTTATTAACTATTTTTTCCAGGAACTTTATTTTAATAAACAAGGTGAAAGATGCATTGATAATGTGCCTTGGGTACAATTAAATTTCAGTTTGGAGAGTCTTCCTCTGACAATGGTGCTATAACAGCTGTTGATAGAGTTTATCTCAATGAATTCATTCAGTCCTCTTTTAAAGCCACCCAAGTAGATGGTCATCACCGCCTCATGTGGGAATGAGTTCCATAGTTTAACTATGTACTGCCTGAATAATAGCTTTCTTTTATATGTCCTGAATCTTTCAGCATTGTGCTTCTCATTGGGTGTCCACAAGTTATAGAGTTACGACAGACATTTTTCTCCACGTCTCACATAATTTTATAAACTTATATTGTGTCACTTCTTACACGTTTTTTCTCTAAACTAAAAAGTCCCAAATGCTGCAATCTTTCCTCATAGAAGAAGTTGCTCCAGCCCCTTGATAATTTCATTGCCCTTTTCTGAACTTTTTCCAACTCTACAACAGTGTTTCCCAACCGGTGTTCCGCGGCACACTAGTGTGCCGCGAGACGTTGCCTGGTGTGCCGCGGGAAAAATTAAAAAATTCGAAAGATATCCGGAGAGGCGGCCTTCAGGCGAGTTTTAATTTTAATATTCCTTCTCCCACTTAATGCCCCACGCTCGCCCGAGCAGCTTGCAGTCCTCGGTAACCACGGCGACCCGAGGGAGGGGAGGGAACAGGGAAGTCGAGGGCGGCGGCGAGCCGCGATGATGTCAGTGGGCCGCGCCGCCTCGCCCTGGCACGGTGTGAGAGCCCCAGCTAGTGGCGCGAGCTTCGGAATAAGTGGGATCCGCGTGCGCGAGACCGAGATCGCGGGTAAGGAGCTCAGCCCTGGGCAGGAGGAAGCGGGGCCGCGCGTGCGGGCCACATCCCCACAGAGAGCGAGCCTCCCCCGGCCCACCACTCCGGGCAGGTCCACTCGCATGAGGGGGCGGCGATGGCGACGGCCGGCAGCTTGCCTGCAATGTCATCCCTCGAGCAGGCGAGGAGCCCGGAGGCTACCAGATGCGAGTCCTCTTTCCCACCCTGCTCGGGAGTCCAGAGCACTTGGTCGCATTCAGGATCTAGAGTGGGGAAGCGGGGCTTGTGTCTGGGCTGGACACATTGGGCTGCCTGTGCCGCTCGACCTGCGGGGAGAAATCAGGGTGGGAGTCACGACCGTGAGGCAGGGCTGCCAAGTGTGGCAGAAGAGGACACGGCCGTCGCACCTGTCCTTAGGTAGGAGCTTCTTCCGTGTCGACCTGCTGCCCTAAAGTCTTGGCTTTTTTCTTGGCTTTTTGGCGGTTGGCACAGAAGGAAGGCAAGGGGGAGGGGAAAAAATTGAAACTTACACTTTCGTGCGTCCCTCCCGGCGTGACGCTGCGCGCTGACGTCACAGGGCTGTAAGGGTGGTGTGCCTCGAGATTTTTTTCATGAAACAAATGTGCCTTTGCCCAAAAAAGGTTGGGAAACACTGCTCTACAAAACCTGCCAATACATGAGCTTGTCAGCTAATTCAAAATCTAAGCTGAGGGGATTTTTGAAAACTGTGAATAGTAAATATCACTTATGGTAAAGTGAAACTGTTAGCTACTCAGATGTTTTCAGTACTGGACATTACTGTAGTTATTACAGCTGTCACATACCAGTTACTCCCACTGTATTGATGCTCACATTAATTATTTGTGTAATACCATGGTTTATCATCTGAGCCAAGAAGGAGATTCACTTAGAGTTAATTCCTTTAAATATATGTGAACCTTAAATATTCTTTTAATAGGAAGTTCATATGCAGCATAAAGGATCTGGAGCCTGATAGCCTTTCAGCAGTATCCAGCCCTTTGCAAGATCAATGGCTTTTGATCCAAGTTCCTGGTCACAACCATAGCTTTTGACAATCTTAAGAAGAAAAACTTGACGAGAGACACTAAGCATTTCTTGTAAATGCAGATCATGTGCTAGGAACAATTGTGAAGTAGCAAGATTTCGTGTTGGTATCTGCCTGTAGTTATGTGGTTCGAGAACCACACATCTATGTATATTTTGCACACATGTAAAAAATAAAAGACTGTCCCATTTCAAGTACTTGACTCCAAATATTACCAGTTATAATCAGGATGCCCAGTTATTGAGGGTTAAGTTTGGAGTCTCCAGTTCTTCTAGTATGAACAGATCACATGGGGTTGGGAAAACTTTGGAGACAGATTTACCAGATACAAAGAAAGCAAAAGCATTCTTACAGGTAGATACATGTTTTCATTAAGCATCAAGCTTCTAGGACATGGGTAGGCAAACCAAGGCCCGGGGGCTGGATCCAGCCCAATCACCTAAATCCGGCCCATGGACGGTCCGGGAATCAGTGTGTTTTTACATGAGTAGAATGTGTGCTTTTATTTAAAATGCATCTCTGGGTTATTGGTGGGGCATAGGAATTCATTCATTTCCCCCCTCCAAAAAAAAAAAATAGTCCGGCCCCCCCATAAGGTCTGAGGCACAGTGGACCGGCCCCGGGCTGAAAAAAATTGCTGACCCCTGTTCTAGAAGGCGAATCTATTAAAAATGAGTTTATACCCATCACATTAACAATCTTATATGAAAGTCTCAAGAGCAATGGCAATGCTCTAGAGAACATCCAAGAACAATCCTACCAGGTTGCTTTGGACGTTTTGCTCAAAGGCAGCATCTTGGGATTCAAGTCTCATTGGTACTCTTTGGGTGTCCCAATAGGGAGGGGGTAGGCTGAGGGGGAGGGGAAGCAGCCTCCTTTGCCCCAGCCTAATCCTCAGTCAATATTAGGGGGCTAAGGTTGATTCTGCTAAGTATAAAAGGCTACACCTCCTAGAATCTTGATGCTTACAGTCATAGGACCACCAGCCATCAGATTTTTAAGCCACTGAGCTCAGTGCTGAATGGCAGCAGTATTTCAGGCAGGATTCCCTCCCAACCCTACCAGGAGATGCAGAACCTGGGAACTTTTGCATATAATGCTGGTGCTCTAGGGCTGATGAGCTACGGCCCTTTCCCAAACATCAGCAAGTGGAATGGGTCAAGGTCAGGGTGACCACCTGCAGACTTTATCTGCAGGCACAGATGTTGTCTTTTGCCTACTCATGGGCCGCCCTAAGCAATGCCTGCCTCCCCCTAAGCCAGGGGTCAGCAAACTTTTCCAGCAGGGGGCCGGTCCACTGTCCCGCAGACCTTGTGGGGGGCCAGACTATATTTTTTTTGGGGGGGGGGATATGAACAATTTTCGCCTGCCTGCAAAGAGGCCTGAAGATGCTTTGCTGTACCTGTCCCAGTTGTTGTCCCAATAATTGCAGTTGGGCTTCTCCAGCCAGCCAGGCGCAGTGGAGGGGTAGGAGGCTGTGTTGGCTGGTGAAGACAGAAGCAGCAGCCCTGGTGGAGGAGCCGCTGGCAGAAGTAGGGGAATCAGGGCGTCTACGGAGCTTTTACCCACCACCTGCTGGTGCTGCTGCTTCCTGAGGGGAACCGTGAAGAAGAAGACAGAGCTGACCGCCAACCCACAAGTGGCGTCTGTGGCCACTGCAACAACCCGCCTGAATGCCATGGGAGGAATGAAGGAGGGAGGGAGGCAGGCAGGCAGGAAGCAACAAAGAAAGCGTGCGAGGAAGTGGCGTGGAAAAGCAGGGCGGAGAAGGAAGGAAGGAAGGAAGGAAGGAAGGAAGGCAGCAACAAAGAAAGCGTGCGAGGAAGTGGCGTGGAAAAGCAGGGCGGAGAAGGAAGGAAGGAAGGAAGGAAGGGTGGACTGAGGGAGAGGGAGGAGGAGCTGGAGGAAAGCGCAGCAGCTGCCAGCATCACACGCCCCCTTCACAGCGCCACCCTGCTGAGGCAGGCAAGCCGACTCCCGCTGTCGATGGCACCCGGCGTGGGACAAGATGGCTCCATCTCTGAGGAGAAAAGCGGC